TCGTAAAGATCCTTGAGAATAGAAAGGGGTGAAAGAAATCAAACGAGGTGTAGAAAAATCCACGAGATGAAAAGATGCAACTAATGAAGCCTGACAATAAAAAAGACGAATAAAACCAATATCGACAATTGTGCAGTGTGAAACAAAACAATAAAAAAAAATAATAATAATTCCATAAATAATATTTATTCCTTCTGCATTAATTATATATAAAAGTTATTTTTAATTTAACATTTAATTGTAGAAATTTAATATTATTAAATGAAAGTTAATGAGTATTAACATGTAAATTTAATAGAATATATAAAACAATTGAAAATTTTAAAGATAAAATCTTCCTATAATATTTATAAATAATCTAAAATACAGTAAAAACAAAGTATTTTGAATTGTTAAAGATTTCTTTTCGTGGTTCTCCTCTACGTCAATAGAAAATTTCTCCGAAATATTAAGATTAAAACAAAGAGAATGAATTAAAAAGAAACTAAGGTAAATCAATATACTTTTTTTCTTAAATAAATTAATAAAAAATAAATATAAATACGTATCTTCTGCAAGAAATGTACTAAAATCATCAAAAATTTCACGTAAATCTACTACTAATTAACAGAATATTTATATATTAACTATAATATGACACGTAATTACTTTATCAATATCTATAACACAGACTCAAATATGATTGCGAATAAGAAAAAGGCCATTAAAATTAAATTGAATATAATAACGACGAAGCGTGGTGTATAGAAGTATACGGATAAATAAAAAACAAATGATTATTTACTAATGTAATATATATTACCCTACAGTAATGGGTTATTCCGAACCTTTACGAAGACGTAGAAAGGAATATTGATATAATATTTAAATGAATTCTTTGTTTTCCTGCAATCAATCATCCGAAAGAGTGCGAGTGAAGATCGACATCTTCGAGTTGTTAGACTTCATTTGTAGAGTCTTTTCGAAAAATTTATCGAATTCTCAGGCTCTATCGAAACGTTGCATAATTTTTTAGATAAAATCGACCACTTCCTAAATCATTTTTAAAAGATTTCTTTACGTTTAAGACACTACAAACTAGTGAATTGACAGTTTTCTTCTCATTATTTCCTTCAGATATTTTTTAAAACTAATTTTAACGTTACGTTGAAAGACAATTCCCAGTCGACCCCCCTATAACACTGTTAATAATTCTGTTTTATATGAATTCCATGTTGTACGAATCACTTAGATTTTACAAATACGTGTGCCAGGCTGTGAACGACTCATATATTTGTAAAATCTAAGTGACTCGTACAACATGGAATTCATATAAAACGGAATTATCAACAGTGTTATAGGGGGGTCGACTTGTATTTTAATTTAAAAAAAAAAACAATATTAACGTATCATATTATTAACTACTATAAATAATGCAAAGTAAATAATTAAATTAAACAGTTTTATATAATACGAAATGGGTATTTTATAGTAATACGGTACGTTGTAGGTTAATAATTTGATAAAAAGTCCGAAAGATTCGGTTCCTATTTAGTCCATTAAACAACTTTATTTTTCGTTTAGACGTTCGATTTATACATTAAACAATTATTTATTTTTACTTTTCCGGATGTTATATATAACAGAGCGATCGGCCAATAAATGACCACGAAAATTTCACATTTTTTGACTCGGAGTAGCTTTAAACGTCGAGAAATGCAAAAAAAATAGGGGTTTCCTCCGACAAAAATAAATGAATTGAAAGTTTTTCTATTATTGGGAATTCTTTTAATCCTTTTCGTGTCCATTGTCATTGGAGAACGATATTTTTCAAAATTAAAATTATTTAGTTCAACAATGGCTCAAGAAGGTCGACACAACTAGCTGTATTATCGGCTGAACAGAATTAGAAGATATTGGAAGTAAATTAAATAATGTTTTACTCTTTAAAATTGTATTTATGTGAGGATAGTTTCCTTTTTCTGTCTGTAATAAATAATCTCACGTAATCTCACTGCGAAAAACAGCTGAATAAACTTGGCTGACCTCGGGAGGCATCCAACCAAGTGCTCCAGGCCCTTTTTGTGGCGCCGGTTTTGCACATCTTGTAGGTACAAGAAAAATAAGACCTAAAATCCCTCCTAAATCCATAAAAATTAAAGTAAATTACGTTCTATATTTAGAATATACGAAACATATGTTTAATTTTATTATTTTATCGGGCCGCAAGCCGAATAAAGTAACATTTGACCCGAAAGTTTCATCATCAATTTAGATAGTTCAGTTATATCCGTATCAATTCATGATTCGTTTAAAGAAACAAAGTTAGTTTTATTAAAATTATGTTAGAAATTTCATTCTAATTAGATTAATAGCCGTTTCATTAACAAGAATCTAAAAAAACACTTAAATTTTTTTCAAAATCCAAGTCTAAAGTCAAAGAGAATTGGTAGTGTCTTACCCCTGTACATCACACTTTTCCTTTATAGCGTTAGGAATTAATCTAATTCCTTTGGGGAAAAGTTTTGTTAATTAAATTCACAATTCGTATATAGTTAATCGGGGTCTCATACCCCTAATCTTTCCACCTATCTAACACCGTTCTCGAGATTAAGGAAAGACAGTGTGGGAATTCACGTCTACAATTTTTTCAAATTTCAGCTCAATTACTTAATGGTTCCTCCGTAAATAAGTTATATATATATATAGTATATATTTTGTAAGTGTATACAATTTATTTCCATTAAGATCGGGTGTAGAGATGAAAGCATTAAGTTGAATGATGGTTGAAAATCTGTTAATCAGAAAGAGGAGATGATATCGCAATAGTCACTACGCCGGATGAATCTATTGATAATCCGAACAGAAAGCAATTGATCGGTTTGTTTTCGTCATAGGAGCAATCAAACAATCCCAAGAAAGATTAGTTTTGTTATCTATGATTTATTTTCTCTTTCATTCGATAGATAAATAAATAAATAAAATTTTATTAATGTTAGATAAATGCATCGTTTCTAATGGTTATTTCTAGTGTAATGCGACAACGTTGATAATTACACTCATCTCGTGCATTAATTTTCGACTCCCCTATAACACTGTTGATTATTCCGTTTTATATGAATTCCATGTTGTACGAGTCACTTAGATTTTACAAATACGTGAGCCGTTCACAGCCCGGCACACGTATTTGTAAAATATAAGTGACTCGTACAACATGAAATTCATATAAAACGAAATAATTGCAGTGTTGTACGTACTGTACGTCTCCACTGCATTATAAAGCAACAATGGCCAAGCTTATAAGACTTTTTACGATAGCTTTAGGGCTCCTCTTTTACACTACGTACGGTACGCACAGTATATTTTTTTGGGTTAAAATTTGAAAAAATTGTAGACTCGTAAATTCCCACTTTCGTCCGTCCGTCCGTCTGTCTGTCTTTTCTTAATTAAGTTTTAAAATTTTACAAGGTTTCGAGTGAAAGAGAATCATTTGTAGAAGTTGATGAAATGGTGGCACCGGCTGGTGCACCACCGTCTTATATCCAGAAGAATAAAGATCGACTGGGAATCGATTCTGGTATTCTTGGTAAACCCGGATGAATGCCTCTCGATTGCCAACTTTATCGCTCATTTGAACAAGTTATATTACAAATATAATTATTTATCTTTCTTTTTAACCAACGAATCGATTTACTGTGACATTAGTTCATTATTGACTAACTCTTCGGTTACTGCAGTATCATTAATTGTTCCTTGTTTTTTTAAAATTTTGAGTAACTAATAAATAAAACAATTTGAATAACATAGAAAATGACCACAAAAAAATCCGGGAGATTTTTCTCTATATACGGATGTTAGTTTGTGTATATGTATGTATGTGGCACGATTTTATTCAGTCTTTGAAGCTCAATAACTCCTGTGCTTTTAGTCGAAATTTTCTAAAATATTGCAGGAAGGATTGTGTATTAGGGGATAAATTTTGGGTGAATAAAAGTTCAGGATATGGGGAGATAAAGGGGTCGTGTCATATCTCCAGTAGGTTCGAACTTATTGACGATTTTACTGGTTATTAGCATTTACAATTTTTATAAAACCCACCCCTATCCTCAAAATTAAGCTTTCTGTAATTATATAATAATTACAAATATTAAAAAAATTTTAAAATAAAATATGATAACAGATGGCGCCACCAAACGTTGCCGAGAAAGTTAAGCAACTCGTTGCTAGATTTTTAAAAATTATACCTTTCATATTGTAAGAAGATTTTGTATGTAAAATTCCTTAAAAATTATTAAAATATTTATTTTTAAAAGGTGCATTACGAGAATTAAATTGCCACACCTTGTATTTATTGATTGACTTGTGCCAAAATTAATCTGTTATTTATTTTTTTATAATTTATTGTTATGTATGAGAATACACATAAACGTTTGAATAAACAAGGAAATATTTTTAAACCGTTACAACTTAAATGGCTTTACGACTACGACCTTACATAAAGGGTCGTCCATTAATTACGTGTACAGTTTAAGGAAGGGCGAGGGTTGTAAATTGTACGTCATTCTACACAACACGGAGGAAACGATCAAAAGTGGCTGAAAAAAAAAGGTACACGTAATTAATGGACGACTCCATAAACCAGATGTTTGTTGGAAAATTGAAAAAATTTAATCAATTCATTTAAAGAAACAGCTTTAAGTAGTTGATTATAGTAAACGTTTCTTAAGAAAGAGATAACAAATTACAATATAAATAACACGGCCAGCAGATAACAGGCTTAGACACCGATAATACGCCCAAGGAAGGAAATGAGACCGAGAACCTCAGTCAATTAACGTCGATGACAGTATCCATAACACGTGACTAATAGCTTTTTTCGTAAAGACAACCCCAACAAAAAGATATAACACAGGCTACTGTGTTTGTTTGTTATACAATTAAATGTGGCAATAAGCGTAGACTGTTCACTCGTTGATATTATTTGAATAATAAAGAAAATAAGAGCAAATAAGGCAACTTACCTTGTCTTCGTCCCCGCTTTGAATGCTCTTGTTGCTATGGCGACTGTGAAGAGACTCGGCGTGTGACGAACACGAAATGCCTTCGGGCGAGACTCGATTCATATCGTCGACCGAAAGAAAGTCTCTCTTCCTAGAGGGTGTTTGACGCTGCTGTAGCTTTTGATCCGGTGGTACGGCTTGGAATCTTTTCAATATGTTGCTACGAAAATTAGAACCAAAAAGAAATCCGTCTTCGGCCGCCACCATTTGTGGAGCCGGCGTGGAAGGTGCAACCACAGAAGGAGGAGCACTCTGAGGAGGAACGAGCCAAGAGAGCGCATCGTCAATGAGAGAAATCTGATATTTTTTTAAATCTTGGTCGACCATATCACAGGCCGTAACTCCTTGACGATTACAAATTGCAAGACGTCCACCGCTTTCTAATATATGACGCACGCATTGCCAAGGGATCCTCGACTGACAAGCGGCTAAGTGCAAAGGCGTAACTCCGTGTTGATCTTGGACATTAGGTATTGCTCCATATTTTAGTAACAAATGTACCATAATATCGTTACCGAGAGCCACGGCTAGATATATAGGAGGAAGTAAATATAATGTATCTCTAATATACTCTTCGTCGTAACTCACTTGTCGACCGTCCATACCGGTATAAATAGTTTTTAGAGATGGTTGCAAGTCCGTATTAATGGTGATGTAATGTCTGGGAGGAGTTACGGCTATCGGAGAACAACTATCGTTACTAAGATCACTATTATTACTAGGACTAGAAGCGACTAGAAATTTAGCAGTGCCCGGACTTAAAAGATGGCTCGGTCGTCGACACCTTTCGGGGCAACTATCTTCCGATGTGGCAGAATAACTCTCTCTTCTCCAAGGATCGCCGGTTTCTATGGGCACTCCGCCTTCGTTGGGATCTACACCGTATTTTAATAATATCCTAGCCACGTCCACCGAGTTGTGTTCGATGGCCAGGTGTAGAGCGTTAGAAAAAATCGGTGGTGATTCCTGATCGGTGGACATGCTTTCTCTCCTGTCCAGTCGATCCAAAAGCGTTTGACTCTTCCTTAACAGGATCTCCACATCCTGACTGACGCAATGACTGTGAGATCCACAACTGGATTTATCTAACAAACTACCGTGTAAATTGACGGGAAACCTCCCGTGGTGTATTTCCAGCATTCTTCGAACGAACGCCGGATCGTTGTGTCTAATGGCTCTTTCCAACTGTTCTGCCTCGAAAGACAGATCGTTAATGCTAGACGTCAGGCTACCACCCGAAGGCATTGCTCCGGGTGACGTAAGAGAGTTATAAGAGGTGCTACAAGGAAGCACCTCTTCACCCCTGATACCAGTGGGCGAGTGGCTTCGATGTCGCGACGACCTCCGACTTCGACCGTAAACATATTCCGAATCCGGGTACACCTAACACGACAAAAACACAATAATTATATTCTATATTAATTATAATTATTTATTAAATACAAACTTATTTAAACGTAGTTAAAGTTTGAAAATTGTCAGGGAGAAAAGCGGTCGATGATCAAATGGGAAGTAGTAATACACGACCTTCAGACGTCCTTCAGACATTTGTGGCTTATAGACTCAGTCGAATAAAAACCCCTTCTATAAATACATCCTTACGTATTAAATGTAAACAAATAATTAAATTGACCATTTAAGATTTTAATTCCACGGAATACGATTCCAATTTAAATTCATCATTAAAACAAAACTAGTGATATTTTAATCACTCTACCTAGTCAATTATATCCCATTAAATGAGCTAATTGCAATTATATAATTTATTTATTGATTAGATATTCGGGTTGGATTAAAAAAAAAAGAAAAGATTAAGTAAATTACAGGAGATTGAATTTACCATTCACAATCTCCAAAGAAAAATAACAAATAAGAGAATAATTATTTAAAAAATTGAAATAATAATACCAAATAAATGTTTAAATTGAAGACTAAGCAACGTAAAAAAGAAATCTAAATTCTAATTTACAAATTATCAAGCCATAATAACGTTTTCTGATTGATGATTTAATGGATTTTTTTTTAATTTTTTGGATACATTTCTGACAAAACATGTAATTCCAGTAAAGAAAAAATACGATAAATGATAACGAAGATAATATTAAAGATATCATTCACCTTCATAAGTATGGTAAGTAAATGGAGTCAATAATATCTCGTATCTCTTTCGAATGTCAACATTCGCTTAAATTTTCTTTGTACATTAATTATAATTTACGTTTATAATAATATAAAGAAAAATGTACATTCTTTTATACGTGAAAAATGTCTTTAAAAACTCGAGAAACACGTATAATTTCAATTTTCCTAATAAGATTGCCGTTATGGGAGATACGAAGAAATTAGATTAATGACTGTATGTAAAGTTTTGATTATATTTTAGGTAATGTAATTACATTTAAGGCAGGGGAGCCCATTATGGTTCATTAAGTTTGGACTATTATTTTGACCAATTCCAATTTTTTTTTTTTCCTCCAGTTTGGAAAGGATGATTGAAAAAGACGGATCTTTTTCAATTATCTTTTCGGTTTACCACCCGATCGTCCTTTTTTTTCAATCGGTCTTACTGGTATGTATTTATACTGGATCCTGCCTTAATATTAATTATCTTTGATAAGAATGGTATTTACCTTTGGAGGTCGTACTCCGAAATTTCCCAAATCACTCTGTAAACCGAATGGATAAACCTGTTGCTGCTGCAAATTTAATGGTGGAGACGAGGTCGACGGACATTCGCTGGGTCTTCCCCAAACGTTCATGGACATGGCAAGGTCAGGAGCGATGCCAAATAACAAATTGCCAGCCCACTTCATGACGTGGGCGGCCAAGAAATATTTCTGATTTTTGATTCATTTTTTCGGTATTCAAATCTAAAAAAATATATATATAATTANTTTAAAAAATTGAAATAATAATACCAAATAAATGTTTAAATTGAAGACTAAGCAACGTAAAAAAGAAATCTAAATTCTAATTTACAAATTATCAAGCCATAATAACGTTTTCTGATTGATGATTTAATGGATTTTTTTTTAATTTTTTGGATACATTTCTGACAAAACATGTAATTCCAGTAAAGAAAAAATATGATAAATGATAACGAAGATAATATTAAAGATATCATTCACCTTCATAAGTATGGTAAGTAAATGGAGTCAATAATATCTCGTATCTCTTTCGAATGTCAACATTCGCTTAAATTTTCTTTGTACATTAATTATAATTTACGTTTATAATAATATAAAGAAAAATGTACATTCTTTTATACGTGAAAAATGTCTTTAAAAACTCGAGAAACACGTATAATTTCAATTTTCCTAATAAGATTGCCGTTATGGGAGATACGAAGAAATTAGATTAATGACTGTATGTAAAGTTTTGATTATATTTTAGGTAATGTAATTACATTTAAGGCAGGGGAGCCCATTATGGTTCATTAAGTTTGGACTATTATTTTGACCAATTCCAATTTTTTTTTTTTCCTCCAGTTTGGAAAGGATGATTGAAAAAGACGGATCTTTTTCAATTATCTTTTCGGTTTACCACCCGATCGTCCTTTTTTTTCAATCGGTCTTACTGGTATGTATTTATACTGGATCCTGCCTTAATATTAATTATCTTTGATAAGAATGGTATTTACCTTTGGAGGTCGTACTCCGAAATTTCCCAAATCACTCTGTAAACCGAATGGATAAACCTGTTGCTGCTGCAAATTTAATGGTGGAGACGAGGTCGACGGACATTCGCTGGGTCTTCCCCAAACGTTCATGGACATGGCAAGGTCAGGAGCGATGCCAAATAACAAATTGCCAGCCCACTTCATGACGTGGGCGGCCAAGAAATATTTCTGATTTTTGATTCATTTTTTCGGTATTCAAATCTAAAAAAATATATATATAATTATATTATCAATATATTATAATTTTAATAAAACAATATACATTTGTATTCAAATGATTGTACGTCTCTATAAAAGTAATCCAAAATGGGCAAGATGGGAGTAAGGAAAGAAGAAATTACATAAAGATCATATTAGAATTAAAAATATTTCGCTATGGACAACGAGAAAGACTTTTGTATAAAGGATTTTATTTTCACGTCGTATTTCATATAGAAGCCATTTGCATTTAGGAATGTTTACATCAAGTATAAATCCGGAGACGAAATAAAAAGACTATCTGCTGTATATTTTACTTTAAAATGTTTTTTTATGTTATCTTTATTTTTCATTTTGGAGTTTTAAAATGTCTTTGGGAATTCAATTCTGTTCGTACTTCTTAATATTCTCAATTTTTTTTCCTATGTCGATAGAAATATTTACCGTTCACTATTTTCGTTAAGAATTATACAAGATTAACTTTACGATATTTATAAATTTCGACATAAAAAATAATACCAAACGGGTATATTTTAAGAACGGTTAAAATCAGTTTACACGTAATTCGGTGACTCCTAATGCGAGTGAATCACGCGATTAAATCATGTATTTTAGAAACGTTCATTCTATATTTAACATTTGAGTAATATTATATATTATTTTTATAATTTACGAAATATTCCATTTAAAAATTAAATGTACAGTACATTGGCTTCATTAAATAAAAGTTATGCCGTATTAGTTATTTGAAATATTAAAATATAAACATAAATTATTTTATTGTGACATAGTCGCAATGCCGAGCTGCAATATTTATTCGTATTTTTTAAAAATTTATTTAATTTAAATTATATGCTCTCCACCTCAAATTAGTAGTCTTGCCCCTGTAAATCATACTTTTCCTGCCAGCGATAGAGTCGTGCTGGTCATCTAACTCTTTTCGGAGGAACATTTTTGAATTAAATTCACGTATAATAGTTAATTAGTTAAGTATGGAAAGATTAGGGGCAGGAGGGGGCCTCTTGCCCCTAATCTTTCCATATCCGTTCTCGTCTTTCGTGTAACTCCACTCTAGGATTTTATAGGTCTACAATTGTTTCAAATTACAATCCAATGACTTATTATAAAACTTTTTTTTAAAAAAATAAGTAAACTATTTTTCATTTACGCACTTACGAAACAGTAAACTACTTAAAACACTTGAAAATGTGTGGATTTTTACATAAAAGAGAATGTAATTAAAGAATTAAAAGCAGAAATTTTAGTTATTATCTTATAAAGAATGCCAATAATTTCGTACACATTTACACAATCCTCCACTGGTATTTTCCCGTTTATTTTTTTTAAAGGTATTATTCTTAATACGTTATTTATTTTTAGTACCGTACTCATAATTCTTTTTGCCAGCGTTCGTTTCGTGTCTTTCTTCGAGGATTTCTCTGTCAGTTTGTATTTTCTAACAGTGGTAAGAAGTATCCGGAAAACGCAAACTGACAGAAAAGAAGTTTACATCCGATAAATAAAGAGATCTTTCGAGTGTAAACGGAAACTGAGCAGATCCGAGTCCAGTCAATGTTGGTCGGAGGATAAAACGGCGATTAATTAATTATTCAGAAATGGAATTTCAAGAGACAAACAAAAAACGACGGAGTAAGGTTTGCCCAAGCTAAACAATGCAGGAGTTGCGAAATGGTCGTTTTGGTTTCGTTATCGATCGCCATCTTCGGTCCTACAACCTAAGAGTCGAAGTCGACGAGTTGCCATTGTTTGACTTACGACAATGACAAAAATAAGTACTCGTCTGCGAAGGATTAAAAATCAATATTTATTTAATCAACCCACTATTTATTTATTCTTTTTTATACTAAGAAATACTTCCTCGTCTTCAAAATGTATCGGCGTAAATTCCCTTCGAATGGTCAGAATAATTAAAAATAATAATTAAAACTTCCCCATATTTATATTTTAGTAATTTCCACAATTAATTCGGCAATTATAAGAGAGAGAAATAAAATTTTTCCATCGATAAATGATAGTAAAGTATGTAAACTAGCTACGTTATATCGCTGTAAATGTAAAAATTCTCACTTAATTTGATTGCTTTGTACGGTATCTCGAGATATAAGAAACTACTGCGTAAAGTCATCACTTTGAGCTGGTCTCTTCAGTGGTCACATTAGTAAGTTTCACTGTACTTACAATATATATATATTAAACATTCAGTATTGAAGTTTACAAACGAATATAATATCTATTCAATATAACGTTGAAATTGCTTTCTTTTTTTTTTATAACATAAAGGATTTTCTCAAGTTTCCTCTTATTCAAAATCAATGTTCTGAAGGTTCACAATACATTGTTACCAGCAAATTGGTTTACACTTGCAAGCTTTATCGTAAATAACCCACTTCGTATATTATTCTCGCTTTTAATACTGATACTTTGACTTGTAAATATTTATATTTGGCTTATAAATTATATATATATTATTGGACATTTTGCTTTCTAATTAACAATCACGGAATGAAAGACACGATATTAAACCATTGTCTCTTATAAATAATAAAAAAAATATTGATTGAAATACTTTAAAAAATGTTGAATATTCTGGTTATAGCTGTATTTATTCGTTTGTGAATTTTTTGTCTCTTTAATCCTTTTGGTAGACTATCTCACAGCAAAGGTTAATAAATTCTTTTATTAGTTTTCACATATGCATTTCGAACCGGTGTAACATTTCGGTTCCTCTTCAGTGTTCTCTAAGGGTTTTACACATTTCTTATTTCATACAGTTGGACCGTTACTTACTAAAACACCAGTACAAGGAGTAAAAAGTAATATGATGAAATTATCGCTTTTCTTTTGGTTTAATATGCTTTGAAAAACAATCAATATTTTTAGATTTGGGTTCGCAATAATTAAACATTTAGGTTTCTTTCTTTACAATATTGTAAATGCACAAATGTCAACTTACACAAAGTAACCTTTACAATCATTCTTTTAGTGTTAAGTATCACAAAACAAACTTTTTCATTTAAAAAATGAATAAAAAGTTTCCCTAAATATTGAATTTGTTAGAAATATAGATAAATTCTAAAATCTACTTGCATAAATGTCGTGTTTTTATCTGTAATACTTCATATTGGGTGTTTTATATCAGTCAGTCGATGAGCAAGTGAGACTCGAGTAGTTTTATTACTAAAGATTCTATCAAAAAACGATGCAAGACATTTATAACTTAGACTTTTGTTTGCTATTATTTCTTTTTTATCCAATAGATTTACAATAATAATAATAATAATAATTTATCCGTTCAATTCATTAGTCTATTCCTTCACATTTCGTCTCTTTCTGCGGATTTAATTTGCATTTGAATCTTATTTAAAGCGACTATTTATATTCCGTTGGAGTCATTTTCGTTGTCGTATTCGGAATAAATTTATCGCAACATTGTTCCGACTATCGAAGCATCTACGAGAATTCGTACAAAATTAAATACTTGTTGCAATATCAATGTTCAAAGTTAGATTTTTAACGAAGACGAAAGTAATGTCCTGATCTTTAATAGAAGCTGGCGATTGAAATATTTACTACATCTTGAGATTAAAATGACTATTCTTTAACACTACTTTTCTTGACTATCCTACCACTAGAAATATTAAACTAAGACTTTCTCGTTATTCTAGAATTATTACAAATTGTAATGCATTTATTTCGTTTTAGGTAATTATAACTGTAAGTGCGGAGAGGTTGCAATTAGGAATTATTCTTCCAGAATGGTCATTGTATGAGGTAAATTTAATTCTTCCGACTAGCTTGATTTTACAAATGATCAAAATAAGGACAACGTTGTTCGTGTTTCTATTTCAATTACCAAATCTCCATTAATCATAGTGAAAGTGTTTGATGCATTTAACCTCCATACATAATTTCACTCTTCCATGTAATAATTAACATTAACGTCCTTCTAACACGTCCTCGATGTTTCT